ATTCTGTTCATTCTGAGGGCTCCAGCACTGAAGTGGAATAGTCAACACCCATTTGTTTGGCCCCTGCTCATCCATTCATCTAGTTTGTGAACATCTTGTCTGTGCCAGGCAATAGGTATAGTAAGTCAAACAAGATATAGTTCCTGCCATCTAGAATCATCATTCTAATGGGGAAAAAGACACTGCCACACATATTTAAGTGCATGATGTTAGATTTAATGATAGGAGATCTTATGTAGGAAATGAGAGGGGAGGGGGATGGGGGAAGCCTTCTTGGAGGGGTTGACATATGTATTAATTTTTTAGGGGTGAGTTGGATTTGATTACATTGTGGGAGAGGGATAGGACAACCTGAAAAATGGCACAGAGGGGAGAGACAACTTGATGTATATGAAGAAGTAAAAGTGGTTTGGCCCTGTGGGAAGGGCAAGGACGAGCCAGGCCGCAGGGGAAGGCAGGCCGGTGGGAGGCAGGGCCAGTCGTGGAGAGCCTTGTGTACCACACTTGGACCAAAGCCTACTGGGAGGAGGGAGGCACTGTGGGCTGCCATCAGGGGACTGAAGTGGTCGGCCTTCTGGTGGCTGGGTCATTGAGGGTGGACTTGACAGGGCAGAGATTGCTCCAGGAAGGAGCAGATGCCAAGTTCCAGGAAAGATGGTTAGGACCTGAATCAGGGCAGGAGCTAGTGGTGAAGGACAGGAGGGCATGGACTTGAGAAAGATCCAAGAGGTGAAGTCAGAAATACACAAGAGGAGCTGAGAGTGGGAGAGAGGGAGCAGACAAGAAGTTCCAGGGTGTCCCCAGCTGAGACTGAGCACAGAAAAAGGAGGCTCTGGTTTCATGGACATTGTGCCTTCAGGGCTGGAGGTATTGAGGCTGAGGTGTGTGCCCCATGTCGCTGTTCCCTGGTTTCTATGGCACTTGCTCCCTGCCATGCCCTCTGTGACCTGCTGCTTCTCTTTACCTGATGGCCTGGGATGGCCTCTTGCTCTTTAATTCGATTGCTTTGCATCTGGGTTCTCTGCTGTGATTTGTAGCTGTGGGGATGGGAGACAGTAAATTATTTTTTTGAGAGAAGCGTCACTCATGGATGGATTGGGATATGAATGACAATAGATCCCCCATTGGAGGACACTGTGACTTAACTCTTCTGGGTCTTCTCCCTTAGCCCAGAGGGGGGTCTTCAGATCCCCTCTTTATCTGGCTGACTTCATTCATTCTTCACATTCTGTCAGATGTCCCTTTTCCTGGTCTCCCTGATCAGAGAGACTCCCCCAGTTAAGCATGTGCACAGCACTGTGAACTTACGCTTTGTATCTCATCCCAGTTGCAATTTAACTTTGTGATATTGTCATTAAGCCTGTTAAACTATAGACTGTAAGCCCCATGAAGGCAGGGATTATGCTAGTTTCTCTCACCATTGTATCCCTAGTACCTTCTGGCTCTTGGTAAGTGCTCTACCAGCAAGGTAGTCAGGCAGTAGGGCTCTGGATCAAGGTCCCAGCAGAAACAGGTGGCACATTCTAAGAAGGAATTGGAAGGATTCTAATGAAGGGACTCTCTATCAAGGAGGGAAAGGGTTAAGGGACCAATCCAGGGACTAGCATTGGACTAGCCCTGGTAGGAGGAGGTTACTGCTTGTTATAGATTACAGTTTGTCCCCCCAAGAAGATATTTTGAAGTCCTAACCTCTAGTTCCCATGAATGTGACTTTTTTTTTTTTTTTGGAAATAGGGTCTTTGCAGATGAAATCAAGTTGAGATGAGGACATTAGGGTGGGCCCCCATCTGATATGACTGGTGTCCTTATAAGAAGAGAAGAGGAGACACATACAGGGAAGACAGCCATGGGATACTGGAGATGAGATTGGAGAGATGCACCTATAAGCCAAGGACACCAAATTTGTTGGCAACTACCAGAAGCTAGGAGAGGCAAGGAAGGATTCTCCCCCATGTGTTTCGGAGGGAGCATGGTAATGTCAACACCTTCGTTTCACTCTTTGGCCTCCAGATCTGTGAGGCAATCGAATTTTGTTCTAAGCTACCTGGATATGTAGCACTTTGTTCCAGCAGCCTGAGGAGACTAATACACCACTCCTGGGCCTGAAGGGACAGGGGGAGGAGTGGCCTGTCCGCAGAGGGGCCCCTTGCCAGGAGCTGTGGCCCAGGTGTGAGAATGCAACTATGGAACTATGGCAGGAAGCAAACAGGGGAATAAATGCCTTGATCTCTCCCCTCTCCCAGTTTCTAATTTCCATTTCCTGTCTCCCATTAGCCCATATCTTGTGATAGCCACAGGGCAAAGGAGTTTGGTGATAAGGCCTATAGAAGTCAGCCTCTTAAAAAAAAAAAGAGAAGGGTGGGGGGAGGGGGAAGAAGTCAGCCTCTTAGGCACAGGGTAGAGCAGCCGTGGGCAAACTACGGCCTGCGGGCCGGATCAGCCCGTTTGAAATGAATAAAACTAAAAAAAAAAAAGACCGTACCCTTTTATGTAATGATGTTTACTTTGAATTTATATTAGTTCACACAAACACTCCATCCATGCTTTTGTTCCGGCCCTCCGGTCCAGTTTAAGAACCCATTGTGGCCCTCGAGTCAAAAAGTTTGCCCACCCCTGGGGTAGAGTGGCCAAGGGGGAGAGATCTGAAGGGCAAGCAGTCGGTCCCACCTGGTAGGTAAGTAAATACTGAATGAATGGATGGATGAATGCGAGCATGGCGGAGACAGAACTCCCAGGTAATCCTTGTTGCTAGTTTGGAACCAGACAGCTTTATGGTACTGCTCTGTTTCCATCCAGAGAAGAGAAGAGAGGAGTCATGGGTTTTTGTTTTTAAATAGGACTTTTGTGTCTAGCTTCAAGCCCTGCCTTCTGGCTCAGCACCCAGGTTCTCAGTCCTGTGACGCCTCCCTCTTTATGTAGCCAGCACCTTAAGGCCGGATTCTATTTTAAGGCTGTAAGTGAGGTAATTGGTCTGACAACAGAAACACAGCTGTAATTATAAAGTGCCAGCCTCCAAAGCAGAAAAGCCATCGGCCCCCAAGGGCTGCCAACATAAATGACTCAGTAATTCATACACACGTGGGCCAGGCCAGGCCAGCACATCCTCCTGTAACGTGGAGGTCCACTGTGCAGGGGGTGGGGTGGGGGGCTGGTGGGGAGGAACATTCGGATAATTCAGCTCCTGTGGCGATCTATGTGCGGTCTCAACATCCAGCCATTGCCAGCTCTGCTAGCCAGAGCAGTAATTCAGGGGACTCAGGGTTAGGTCCACCAACGGATGGGCCAAGTGGGCAGAATGGACCAGATCACTCCTCTAGTGGAAATACTGTCCGGAGCAGGCTGCACTGGCCAAGTCTGTGAAGCCGGTTTGCATGTCACTAAGACATCTGCAGTGCAATCAGCTCAGCTGCTTGGCTTTGCGGAGGCGAAGTGGCTGCTTACTCCCATTCCAAAGCAGGGCCCTTGTCTAGGGGAGGCCAGAGAAAAAGAGCCTGCGATTTTGCTTGACTGGTCTGGCCTGAAATTTTTGTATTTCTCAGATTAGAAATAACCGAGTGAGGCTAGGTTTTAAATTTTAATTTATATTTGGTTGTAGAAACAGGACATAGCACACGTAGACACTTAGATGGAATACATTTTAGTTATTCCCATCTATCCCTCAGACTTTTGAACTTTACTAATGATGCTACTCATTTGTCTCAGAATTACCTCTGCTGTCTTCAGACAACAAACATTCACAGGAGTCTTCCATGTGCAGGCCACTGTGGGGAAAACGTAAGTGGTGGCGCCTCCCTCTGAGGTGTTACTACTTTTCCTTTCTTTAGCAAACAGAACGCCAGTCTGTTTCTGCAGAAGCAGAACTAGATGGGCACCTCAGCGCAGATGTGGAGACTCCTCGCTTACTAAGCAGATATAAGGCAGGTGGGAGACCTGGAGAAAAGATGCAAAATGATTTCTTTGAGAACTTCTTTGGTATGAAAAACTCGAGGGAGGAAATGTCTGATTTGCACAAGGAGTCCCAGGGTGTTCTGGGAGGGAAGGGCTGGGTATTCATTTTATTAGTCAAGATTTGCAAGGTTATGCTGCTTTAACAAAGAACCCCAAAGTTTCTTACAACAACAATAGCAGCAGCAACAACAAAGGTTTTTTTGTCACTGAGGCAGTGTAGCTATCATGGGTTGACCATGGCTTTATTCCCTTCATTCTGGGACCCTGGCTAGTGGAGCAGCTTCTATAGGAGGCCCTGTTTGGTCATCATAGCAGAGGGGAAAAGTCATATAAGTTATACTTTGGTTCTTACAATTTCTGCTCCAAAGTGTATATACCCCACATTTCAATTCCTCCCACACATAAATGGCTAAAACAAGTCCTGGGGCAACCCCTGAGGTTAGCAGGGCAGGATTGTATAATTCTCCCCTAGGGTGGAAAGATGGAGTTTTTGGTGAACATTCATGCCGTCTACACATGTACTTACACCTTCCTCCTGAGGTTCAGAATTGGAGAGCTCTGTTGGGATTGGCAGCAGGCTGGCTCTAACCAGTCGCAGGGGTGGGCAGCTGAACCCTCAAAGTGAAGTGACCAGGAAGTTTGAGGTAGATAGATAGATAGATAGATAGATGAGTTACCGGATGGATCCACCTGACTGATACAGAAGAGAAGAAGGCAGTGGTTCTGGTCCATGAGGTGCTTGTTGGAGCTCATCTTGATCCAGTTCTTCTGGGGTTGCTCACGCTGGGAATTAGCTGAAGGAATCCCGGGGGGAGAAGCTCATCAGACCTTGGGTGTAGCTTTCTTGACTGAGCATCACCTCGAGGGATCACTGCTGTGGCTTCCAGGAGACACGTTGCCTATCTTGACTACACAGGACAGGGAAACTTCCCCCCAGCTACCAGCCTGCCACTGCTGCTGGCCAGCCAGAGAGGACTAAATAGGACCTGGGCCCTCCCCAAAACTTCTAATTTTCTTTGCATTTTCCCCCTGTTCCCTACCTACACACTAATGCCTACATATCATATATCTCTGGATATATAAAGGCAAAGGAGTTGGGGCCTTGGAAATCAGAAAGAATTTTCAGCTACTATCAATTCCAGGACTCAGTTGGAGTATGCTGTTTGTACCAGAAACTGTAAAGGGGGTCATCTCAGTCATATAAAAATGTGTAAGTCACAGTTCCTGAAAGAAGTATGACCTAGAAGGCCAAGACATATAACTTAGAAAAACTCAAGGCAATATTAATAAGAGCAATAGGTATTAAATATGAGAGACAAAGAACCTTTCAGTTTGTCAGTCCACTGAATGTTGAGGATGCTTTTTACCGCGGTGAGGCTGACCCTGGCTGATATACTGTGTGTGTGTGTGTGTGTGTGTGTGTGTGTGTGTGTGTGTGTGTGTGTGTTTGATGTGGTGCGGGGAGGTGGGAGTCGGCATCAGGGAGGCGGAGGTGGAGGTGGAGGTGGTGGTGGGGTGATTCCGGAAGGCATTTCTCAGGATGGAAAGTTCTCCGGTGTGGCATCTTCACTGCTCTTTGGCTCGATTCCACAGAAGGAGAAGACATTGCTGAGACTTCATGGAGGAAGTGGTTGGTGTCTCTGACAGTTAAATCCCATTATCTCCCCTGAACTCTTGCCTAGAGGGGGTTGATGAATAGATGTGAACATTCAGGATGAAGCTGTAACTTACAGTAAGTGGCGAGTCTGCTCTGCTCAGAGCCAATGGGTGGCTGGGCTGGGAACCCAGGAGCCATAGCCAGGGCGGAGTTGGAGGGCCTGCTCCCAGCAGGCGTCAGGAGCAGAGGCTGGTTATGCGGAGAATTTCCTGCCTCTGCAGTCCCAACGCCAATAACCACAGCTTAGCGAATTCACCTCCTGGCCACTTTTGGTGAATTTTCAAAAAATACCTCAGAAGCTCTTTCAGGCTTGTCCTTAAAATCCAAACCCCGTCCAGGGCTGGTTTCACTTCTGAATCAGATTTTGGTAAATAACTGACAACTAGTTTCTTTTCAACAGCTTTCAAAATGGAAGGACTTTTTCTTTTCCTCCTAATTTAGAAATGCTGGGGGAAAGAATTTGTTCTTGATAGACTGAGAGGTGGGTGGAGAGTTGGGGAGAGGTTAGAAAAATACCTTGGTGTTTGGATGGTGCGGCCGGAGCCAGTGCCGGCCAGGGGCTGGGATGGGGCTGACGGGTGGGATGGGGTCGTCAGGAGCTGATTATACAGGGTGTTGTCATTTACAAAAAAGGGTGAGACCAGCTTAGGGCAAGGAACAAGGAGTCAATTAACAGACAGGCACCAGCCCTGCCTGTTGTGAGGATGAGAGAGGTGACCCCAGAGACTTCCACCCGCTCACTAGGGTCCCCGGGAACAGTTTCACTCCCTATCTGGGAGGGAGGTGGGAGGTAGGAGGTGGGAGGTGTGTGTCTTGATTTGAAGGAGCTGGAAAAACAGGGGTGCATTAGGCCAGCTGGTGTAGATAAAGTATTCCTGGGGTACACTTGGGGTAATTTGAGGGACAAACAATGCCTAAGGGGGGGAGGGTTATAGGCATTTGAATGGCTTCAGTAAAGTCTATTTAGTTGCAACATCTACATCTGGTCTTCCTCTTCCCTTTTCTTGTGAACTTATAAAGAGTGGTGTTCAGTGGAGACAGAACTAATTAGGACAAAGAGTAGGATAGGAGAGGTGTGGAGGAAAGGAGAGGTCAAGGGCTGACTAGGAGGGATGAAGACTGAGAGGGAAGGGGGTGAAACTTGTGTTGTCTCCCCGCTCCCAGGTATATCCCATATTCCATATCCCCACACCAGGGTCCTGTGTGAGAGTGGAGGACTTCATTGCTTGGTACCCATGCTGCATGTTAGGTAACATAATAGTAATAATTCAGTCCATTAGGGGTTCAAGTCTTTGTGGTTCAATAATTTCTTTATTAAAGAAATGTTAAGGCAAAGGTTTTTTTTTTAAATGTGTATCATTCAAATGACTGTCCCCAGTGTTTTCTTTGCATGCCCAGGAGGAGCAGGAAAGACCCGTTCGCTGGTTAAATGAATGCCTGACTTTTTTGTGCATTGCAACTAGACTCACAAGGCACATGGCTCCATTAGAGCGAGGGTTAGACCAAATAAAAGAACGAGTAAGAATGAGTGGTAGGGGTTCATTTAAGGATTTGTAAACTCCACCTGATGGGAGTGTGTCAGAGACCTGGTTGATAGTCCCACTGTGAGCCTTACTCTTTCCCACATATTTCAAGGGAGAAACCACTTTTGCTTTCTGTGGCGGACAGAAGAATTGGCTGAAGTAGATACATTTATTGATGTTCCATTCCTGCTGACCTCTTTCAAGTTGCTTCTAGCGTGTAGAACAGAAAAGCATCTTCCCTTCAAGGGTAGATGTCATCTGCCCAGCCAGTGTGGCTCCGTGAGTGAGCATTGACCCATGAACCAGGAGGTTACGGTTTGACTCCAGGTCAGGGCACATGCCCGGGTTGCAGGTTTGATCCCCAGTGTGGGGCCTGCAGGAGGCAGCCAATCAATGATTCTCTCTCATTGATATTTCTATCCCTTTCTCCCTCTCCCTTCCTCTCTCTGAAAAATATAAAAACATAAAAGAATAGACAGCATCTGCTAAAGAGAAATGGGTGGGTTTCTTGTACTTGAGCAAGATCTCTAGTCTTCGTTGGTGAACTCACAGGTGCAGGAGTTGCATCCCTTTTTATAGGACTCTCTGCTCTGCAGTTTAGAGAAAACAGTGTCACAACTCCATGTGCAAGTAGGTGCTTGATAGCAGCTCTTCGAGAGAAGAGTTAGAGGATCTGTGGCTGAAAGGACGTTCGAGATCCTCTGGCACCTCTTCCTCTCTCGTCATGCTGTGACCTTCTGAGGGTGATTTTCATTAAAGTTTGTTTGAATGTTAAAGGACAACATTCAACTGAGTAAATTTGAAGATCTAATTGGCATTTTTAAGTGATTCATGAATTGGACAGCATCCCATCTAGCAATTAGAAGGCCGCTCGGAGGGGTTGTACAAAATGGAAGGTTTTACAGGCAGAGAGCGGGACTAAGAAGGGAAAAGAGTGGAAGGCACCTTCTCTCAGGGGAAGGCAGGGGTCTGTCAGGCAGATTGCCTCCCAAGGGCTGATCAGGAAATTCTGGGCTAGTTGGTTTAAAATTCCATTCCTTGGAGAGGCTAAAACTTCAATTAGGTTAGTTATTAAATTTGGTTTGTTGAGGTGACTTAGAAAAAGTGACTCTATTTTGGCCTTTTTGTATGTTTGTTTGTTTGTTTATTTATTTATTAACAGAATACAAATTAAAACGGGCACATGAAACTAACAAAAAGGTCAAATAAACAGAATAGCCCCAAACTGAAAACAATGTAAATATCTACCAATAGGAAGAAGGATAAGCAAAAGTGTGCTTTGTTCATACAATGGAATATTATCTATATATGTAAAAGGCTAAGCGACCATCTGACTGGTAGCTATGATGTGCAATGACCACCAGGGGGCAGACACTCAGACCAGTAGCTATGATGCGCACTGACCACCAGGGGGCAGATGCTCAACACAGGAGCTGCTGAGCTGCAGTGACTTGACAGCTGCAGTTCTCGGGTAATGCACCTCGGAACCAGAGAGGAGGGAGCCCGATTCTGGGGTGCATCACCTGAGAACCACCCTCTCGCAATCCGGGACCCCTCAGGGGATGTCGGAGAGCTGGAGGCCAGGCTGGGGGATCCCACCTGCAGGAGGGATCCCACTCATTCCACAGATGCCCTTTGAGCCATGGCCCCGCCCCAGGTGCGGCCGGCCTGGAAGGGACCACGGGAGGTTGGCTCCAGGGTGTGTCCAGCCAGTCTTGCCCAGTCCCGCCCCACTGGCCACCTTCTAATTAATTTCCTTTCAATATGCACGAATCTGTGCACCGGGGCACTAGTCCAACAATAAAAAAGAACAATTTACTGGTACAACATGGATGAGCCTAAAGAACATTATATTGAGCAAAATAATATGAAGGTATATAAAGTTGGAGAATAGGCAAAACTAGAGTATGGTGGTAGAAGTAAAAAAAGTGGTTAATTCTTTTAAAAATTTATTTATTTATTATTCTTTTATTCCCCCTCCCTCAATTTACCCCCCTTTACTTAGCTTCCACCCTACCCCAGGCCTTCAAAAAGTGGTTAATTCTTGGGGAGCTGTCTATTAACTGGAACAGAGCATGAGAGAACTTTCTAGAAGGATGGAAATGTTTTATCTTTTGTGGTGCATCGTGTGTGTGTGTGTGTGTGTGTGTGTGTGTGTGTGTGTGTGTGTATGTTACTGAGATGTATACTTAACATTTGTACATTTTACTGAAAGTAAACCCAAACCAAACCCAACATCAAGCACACAGAGTGGGAAATATGTGGTTAATGAAGCAAATTTAACAGTCAGCAGCACAAATAGAAGTCCCCTTGTCTAGCAGTTTCAGTAACTTGGGCAAGTTACTCAGTGTCTCTGAATTTCGGTTTTTCTTCTATTAAAAATAAAGAGAGGGCCCGTTTGTCCATCGCACACAGACTCTGCCACGTCAGATGGCACTGGCCTCACAGTGGAAAGGACACAGAGACTCCAATTACAGACCTTGATGCTATTCTGCCGGCACAGTGAGCCCAGGGACACAGAAATAAATGTAGCTGCCAATGCCA